TAAAATTCAGAGTTTTATTTTGAATAGGTGATGAGCCACACTGTCGCTTCAGCACTGAGATCACTCATGGAGGCCGGTGTTTTTTTATTCATGCGCGCACAACAGCATTCTTTCTCCAGCTTGTGAACAACTGGTTTGACTTTATTAATTGTCGTCAATGAGGCACTTTATAGGATATTGGGTAATTTTGCGGCTTTTGGTTAAGTTGCGTGTTTAGACTTAAAGTCATACTAATCTTAAAATTAGAAGCAATCTCTCAGTCATAAAATACGTAACAATTAGACGTCCTGTAAGGTACGATGACGATAACGCGTCATGCCCTAAGGATACCAAAACCAGCATAAAAGCGACCATTCGTTGGGAGAAAAAAAGGATAACGATGGACAAGTAATTAACGAACTCGGGCTTGCAGTGAAACTTTGATTTTATGTGACCTATCAGTCATGACTTGGAACTGTTCTTTGTATTTGTAAATATACAATTGCAATATATGTATTCGGAACCAGGAGTATGTCTTCTTCATAAGATCAGATCAGAAACAACAGCAATACAGAAATAATAGCAAAAAATACAAATGTTCCCTACAAATGGTATCCCCGACAGACGAACCAGCGCCTTTCTGAGATGGAGTCTGAAAAGAAACCGTTAGAACTAAAGGTGACCCCCAAAAGACATCAACTCCACAAGCAAGCCGAGGATAAAAAGATCAAGGAAAATGGAAAACAACCACCAAACCAAGATTCAGACAGTATGAAAAATCAAGGAATTACAAGCGAAATACCAAAGACTCTGACAAAAAGAAAAAGACTGTTAGATTTAAAAGGTGTATGAGATTCACATTATATGGACTGTTATAAAAATATGTGTGTAAAACATTCACACTATATGAACTGTTTTACACCAGAAAAAAACCGTAAAATCAAAAACTAGTCAGAACTCTTGACTACAAAAACAAATGAGAAAGATATGAAACGAAAGAACTTCAGAAAGAAACGCCCGCGAACCAACTTCAAGAAACCGCGCGATTGTAGCATTTTATATTGTACTATAAATATTTCAATTTCGTGTACAAAATGGACAGACATTCTTCTTCTTCTTCACAGGTATTTCACGTTTCCTTCTTTCTAATCTTTAAGGCGTTCTATATTTGGTATTAAACCCAACGAGGTTTACTCAAAAATATTTAATTTATTCGATTTTGGCAGATATTAGCATTCGTTTTCTTTAAATATACTTTACGTTGACTTTAACATTTTTTCAAAATATGATTTCATATACGATCGTATTTCGAATCAGCGCTTCGGGATGCATTTGCATAAACGCAAGTGAAATCCTCATTTTTTTATTTTTAAACGCCCAAAGAGGCTCATCACAATTATAGCCGGAAAGGCTCATAAACGCAACACGCGTATTTATTTTTATTTTTTTCAGCGCTTCAAAATTTATTAATGTGAAACGAAGTGTATTAAAGCTAAGCTTTGGTAGTAATCTGTCACCTAAATTATAAAATAAACCAACGCCAAATCTTTTTCTTTCCATACACTGTATAACACACACACATTCTGTCTCATAATCATAATTTCAACTTTCTTATGTTTTTATGAATTTTGTTGCATTTTGTGTATATATTTTCACTGCACGCCCAAGCTTGGCCACTGCTCCGCAGCTAAAGTAGGTGCATAGTATAGGATATTGGGTAATTTTGCGGCTTTTGGTTAAGTTACGTGTTTAGACTTAAAGTCATACTAATCTTAAAATTAGAAGCAATCTCTCAGTCATAAAATACGTAACAATTAGACGTCCTGTAAGGTACGATGACGATAACGCGTCATGCCCTAAGGATACCAAAACCAGCATAAAAGCGACCATTCGTTGGGAGAAAAAAAGGATAACGATGGACAAGTAATTAACGAACTCGGGCTTGCAGTGAAACTTTGATTTTATGTGAATTATCAGTCATGACTTGGAACAGTTCTTTGTATTTGTAAATATACAATTGCAATATATGTATTCGGAACCAGGAGTATGTCTTCTTCATCAGATCAGAAACAACAGCAATACAGAAATAATAGCAAAAAATATAAATGTTCCCTAAAACTTCACTTTATTCAGATTCGAATAGCAAATTAAGGAGGTGAACAGACGTACTTAATCGTTTTGAAAGAATAAAAATTTGAGCGACCAAGTCAGCTTCACTCTTACATATATAGTAGCATCACCCACTCTGCGAATATAATTAGCAATATTACCATACCACAATCATGTGACACAGCGGTTACCAAACTATGGGTCGCAAAAGGAATCCTAGTGGGTCGTGAAAAGATATGGAAAGCTTTGATTAATTATACTGATTATTAGAATCGGCGACTCGAATACGTAAATCTTCAAATAAAGGAATTAAATTCAAATCTGCGAAAGTTTCCTTTTTACGATCTTCTCAAACTCAAAAGAACAAAAATTTGCTACACAAAGAATGACCATGTGGCTTTTTTACGGATAGCAGTTTCGTACACTGTACAGCACTTCATACCGTGTTTCCCCAAAATTTAGACAGGATTTAGATTTATTTTCTTTTGAAGAATTACACTATGTTTTTTTTTAGAAGAGGTCTTTTGTGTTCATTTATCAAAAATAAAGTTACATTGTAAAAAATCACGAGATTTTTTAATAAACATTATATAAAAACTGACATCCTTCTCACTAGCTGCACTGAAAATTTGATTTGAGAAAATAAATTTGTTTCCTTCATCAATGTTTTCTTCATTTATTAAAGGTTTGGAACCACTGATGTATGATATTTATTTTTCAGATTAGTCTTAAATATATCGTACCGATCTTCTACTGTACGCTTCAGTCTTGTTCAGCCTGTCAAACCAGCAGGGGTGTAGTGTAGTCTTCTGTTATGGACAAAGTGCTGACGAAGAAGAAAAGAGGCAGTGACAATTTGAAATTATGACTAAATATGAAATGGAGCAGGTAGTAGGATTTTCACCATTATTTGTGTTCAGTTATTAATATTTGACAGATTTTGTTAGCCTAAATTTGCATAACTGGTAATTCTTTTCTGAAGTAAAACACGTGAATTTCATGCACTGGTCCAGGAGTTGCGGTTACAACGACCAACATATTTTGAAGAATATTTTCGCAAATCAACAAAGCAGTATGACGAGTTACTTGGGATTGTTGGTCCGAAAATAGGAAAATTAACAACGACCCACAGAAGGCCAATTTCCACTGCAGAGCGATTGGCTGTCGCATTGAGGCAAGTTTATGATTTGATCAGAATTTTGTCTTTTTTAATTCTATGTTTTGGAATTTTGTTTTGTGACCATTTTTCATAAATGTGATAAATTTTTTCACGTTTAGATTCTTGGCAACTGGCGACACCTATCGCACTATCGTCAATAGTTATCGCTTAGGGATTTCAACTCCTCATTGTGCCAGGTACATGCAGGTATGATTTTCAAATATAATTCCAACCTTCTGTATCTTTAATAAATCCAGATCTCAATATCATGGCTGCTTACCTCATGATTTTCAAAATGTTTCCCCAATCACCTTTTTATATGCTTTGTTTTGCCATGCCATGGGGAAGACTAATGATCGAGACAGTACTCATTTGTATTCGTAGCTGACGGGGCATTCCCTTTAAAAGAGAATATCATGCGACCATATGATGGAAACAACCTGAAGAAAAAGATATACAACTCCAGATTGTCACGGGCTTGCCGAATGATAGAAAGTGCGTTCGGAATACTTCGAAATCAATGGGGAGTATTTTATTGGATAATACCTCTTCAGTCTATAAATGCGGATGGGGGATGAAGGCCACCTGTTGTCTCCCTAACTTATTGCGCAAGTGGGAAGCTCAGCCACACGAAGTGAAAGCAGCTTACTCGGAAGCTGAACGCTGAAAGAAGTTTGCCCTTTTTTCACATTTCATAGAGCCATTTGAGAACACGGCAACCTTTGGCTCTGGAATGTCCATCAACCCAGGATGTGTGGACGACCATTGGTAATGAGTTTGAAGCGAAGTGGCAATTTCCGAATTGTTTGGGGGTCGTTGATGGCAAACACGTCGGGATATATGTTCTTCAACTACAAGAAGACACGCAGCATTGTATTAATGGCAGCGGTTGATGCAAAGTGAAAATATTTAATCTATCACTTATCAATTTTTGAACCCTTTTAAAAAATATCATAAACATTTATCCTTTCTGTTATAATTATTAGATATTGGAGGAGTAGTGATGGAAAATATTCCCAGACTTCGGTTTTGGCGAAAGATTGGCTAATGATAACCTCAATCTTCCAAATCCGAGGTAGGAAGACGGTCGTATATTTTCAACAAAAAATGTTACCGCCTTACATATTGCATTGCACGTATTTAACTTTTTTTTTAAGTTATGCCTGTCCTCCGGGTACTCTGTATTTTGTTCGTCCCTTTGTTGTTGTTTTGTGTTTTGTTTGTATCAGAGTGACCAAATAAAATTGATTGATTGGTGTGAGTCTTTTGTGCTTTGTTTTGTTGGGCCAGTGGAAAGAACATCATGCGACAGTATGGGGGAACAATTTAGACCTAAGATGAAGAATACCCTTTCTTTATGAGGTTTCTGATTATTACTCAGTCTATTTGGTGATGATTGATTGCCGCTGATGACCGCTGATGACGTTAAGGCAACATCTGTCACGTTTTATCAGTGTTGCCAACTTGGATTATTTAAATCTAGATTTAGATTATTTTCGTATGATTTAGATGTAAGAAATACCCATTTAGATGCTAGATTATTTTATAGATTATTTTAGCATTCATTTAGATATATTTAGATTATTTTGACAAATGTTATTTTGCATTGTTCTCTAGCTCTGTAGCTGTATAGTGGCAAAGAAGTGAAGTGCAGTTCACCGGTATCTATAGCAGTGAATAACATATGTAGAGAATAAATACAGAAAAGGTACTGCAGTGATAATGCTCAAAACAACAAGCAGACAAGGGAGATATGTCTAAAGAAACCAGTGGCAAACGATACGACCAGAAATTTCGAAAACAGTGGCTAAAAGATGACTCACTGAAAGAGTGGATAGCGCCCGTGGCTGCTGATGCATCTAAGGCATTCTGCAAGTTCTGTAAATGTGATGTCAAAGCAAAATATCAAGATTTGAAGCAGCATACTAAAACTCAGAAACATTTGAAAGCTTGTCCATTCACTACCAGGACTCTTGATCCATTTATGACTATTAAAAACTCTGAAACAGCAGAGCTGGAAGCGTCTATTTCCACATTTTTATGTTGCCACTCAGCTATTTCTAATTGCGACCATTTAGTTGATTTATGTAAAAGAAATCTCCCTACAAACAAAACAGTGTCTGAAATGAAAATGCACCGAACTAAATGTACCCATATCATAAGAAATACACTATGTGAGCATTTTAAAACAGACCTAAGACGAGATATTGGTGATGGGAGATTTAGCATTCTGATAGATGAGTCCACAGACATAACAGTACATAAGTTACTAGGCATATCTATAGTTTATTACAGCATGTCTGAAAAAAAGATTGTGTCAATCTATCTGGAACTTACAGCTTGTGATGCTCAGCACATTGTTATAGCTATTAAGAACGTACTCGGTTCACATAAATTGAGTCTGAAGAATCTTGTAGCAATTGGAACAGATAATGCGAGTGTGATGATTGGCATAAATAAGGGTGTTCATGCACAACTGAGGGCCGAGTTACCATCCCTTATTCTTATAAAATGTGTATGCCATTCTATTCAATTGGCAGTCTCACAAGCATCGGCAGATAGCCTGCCAAGACACCTTAATTTTTTGATTACCGAGACACATAAATGGTTCTCACATTCATCTACCAGGCAATATCGGTATAAGACTCTGTATCAAACTTTGAATGATGGCACATCACCTTTGAAAATTCCTAAAGATTGTCAAACAAGATGGTTATCTATTCAACCAGCTGTTCAAAGAATCTTAGAACAATGGCTGGAACTAAAAACTCACTTTGAAGTTTCACGATTGTCAGAAAAGTGCTATACTGCAGAAGTTCTGTATGAAATGTACTCAGATGAAAAAAATTTGGCCTTCCTTCTGTTTCTAAGTCCAATTTTGACTGAAGTACAACAAGTAAACAAACTGTTTGAATCCAAAAACATTGAAAAAGTGAAACTATTAAATGATCTAACAATGCTGATGAAATCAATTGCAAAAAAGCTTGTATCGCCAACCTGTAATATTGATCTACTTAATTCTAACATTGAAGAGTATCTGGACCCAAAACCATACTTAGGCTACAGATTTGAGGGGAAAATTCAAGATTTGAAGAAGCAAAATAAACTTACCAATACTGATGAAACTTGTATAAGAAAAAGATGCTGTGATTTTTTACTGGCACTGCATAAACAGTTAAAGCAGCGTCTACCTGATAATCTTAAAGTTCTGCAGAACATTTCTTGCTTCTCTGTTACTAACATGCTTCAACCACTTAAAGACAAAGCTGCCATCTGTGAAGTTATGAAATTTTTGGGGGCCTCTGATCAATCTATCTCTCAAGCAGAATACTAACTAAGCAAGATAAATCTTGTGGACTGGGTGCATAAGGATGATACAGAAGCCTTTTGGAGTGAAGTGGGTGACTATAGGGATGCTTCAGGATGCAATCCATTTTTAGAACTTTTCCAGTGTGCAATTTCAGCCCTAATTCTACCTCATTCAAATGCTGAAATTGAGAGAGTATTTAGTGCAATGAATTATGTCAAGTCAAAACCAAGAAACAGAATGTCACTGCAGCTGCTGAATGCCATCTTAACTGTAAAATTTGGGTTGATAAGAAAAGAAGAGTGCTGCTCCACTTACAAGTATCAACCAAAAGTCATTGCAGAGATAGGAACAAGCGCTGTCTACCAATATCAGAGCCAGTCAACTTCAGCATCTCATCCCATAGATCTTTCAAATGTAGAAGATATTAACTTTAGAGAATTGCAACAGTTGTAGTTTGTACTTGTAATTTCTGTTACAGTTTCAAAAGTGTACATGTAGTCGCATAACTTGCCTATAATTAATTAAAATATTAAATGACCTGTATCACACGGATAATTATGCTGTGTGAACTTAGTAGTATCCCTATTTCGAGACAAAGGAACCAAATTACAGTAAAATAGGAAAATTCAATGTTCTATTTACTTCATAAATATTGTTATTTGTATATTGTTTCTTTTTTATTAGTGTATTTGATATTCGGTGATTGCAGACACTAAAAAGTAAATCCATAATTATTGTGGTGCAACAAGCTTTCATTTTTTCTCATGATAAATACTTAAGTTACCTTACTTATGTTCGAAAAGCTGTATTGATATGAGTAATCATTTTTCTTTACATTACAATCTTCGTTTTTTCATTGAAAATGTAACTTTGGTATTTTTGGATTATTATTTGGATTATTATTTTTTGAATTTAGATTATTCTAGATATTTTTTGTGAAGATTCTAGATTATTTTAGCACCGAACAGTTGGCAACACTGCGTTTTATATGTGACTAGTCGTTTTTGTGTTTCGCGTGAGAAGGTTATGCTCGAGTTATCATTGTACACTTTAAGTTGTATTGTTGATGACGATTAAAGTCGCAGTCGAACCTCGGAAATTCTGATTTTAGCGTAGTAGATGTTTTTAAAAGATAGAAAGAAAAAGCTGCGACACGTGTACTTTGTTCTTACGAATGATTTGAGATAAAACTATCTGTAGACCTATTACTTGAGTTACCAAATCAAGAAGTGTCGAATCGAATAACGGAACAATGATCTTCCCTGATATCAACTGTTTGGTGTGAAAGATTCGCATAAAAACGACCCAACGGTGCAAAGAGTAATTTAAAGGTTTTGTACTGTTTTTAAAGTTATTTTTATGCATTTTGAGCTGGTGGATAGAGCAAGACTTGTGTATTACTAATAGTAAATTCTTTCATTTTTCTGGTAAAATCTTATTTTAGAATGTTCATTAAATCGTATTATTGGATTTTAATGAAAAGTGTTTGTTTCTTAATTAAGCCTAGCAGTTATTTTGGTATTCCTTGTTCATATTCCCAGCTGTTTGTGAATAAAATTGAAATGTAATGCTGTACCAACAATATTTAAAGTGCCAAATGCACCCATTCATATCCTTGTTCGTAAGCCATGCTGTTTGTGAATAAAATTAAAATGGAATGCTGTACACACAATATTTAAAGTGCCAAATGCACCCAAAAAATTAAAATCATCAAGACGTGACTTGACTAAAATATTGAATGAGACAAAAAACGTCGAAAAAGAACAATACAGCGTGTTGTGAACACAAAATGATCTCAATTTGAATTTTATATATACAACCTCAATGTATTAGGTTCAACGGAGCATTCCTACGCCAAGGGCCACCAGGACGAATTAGTTGTGTCCGAAAGTTGTAACGTCGAATCATATTCCGCTACAGCACGTGATTGTCAAAACTGCGTAAGCTTAAAAAATGAGGTCAGGAGTTTGAAATATCAGGTAGGCCTATATATTTTTGTTAATCGTGGTAATAATGCGACTCGACACAATCAGAGTTGCCAACGTCTAAATGCTTTTAAGATCGCGCAACTTGAGCAGAAACTGTCACATATGGAACAAAATCTCAAGTCCTGTTTCAATGAAGACCAAATCGGCTCACTACACTGGAACGTAGATTTGCATCAAAGGGCAATAAATGAGACTGTAATGACTGCTTTGAAAATCAGATGTGCTACTGGTGTGAAAGGGAATGTGTCCTGTTTTTAAATCTTTTTTAAACATATTAAAATTCACTGTTTTGTTTTATATAGGTGATGAGCCACACTGTCGCTTCAGCACCGAGATCACTCATGGAGGCCGGTGTTGTTTCAATCTATGTGCGCTTACTAGCATTCTCTTTCGAGCTTGTGAACAACTGGCTTGACCTTATGAATTGTCGTCACCCATGCACTGCACTTTATTCAGATTCGAATAGCAAATTGAAGAAAAGTAAGGAGGCGAAACAACGTACTTAAACGTTTTGGTAGAATAAAAATTCGAGCGACCAAGTCAGCTTCACTCTTACATAGATGGTAGTGGTAGCATCACTCTCGATATACTACCGGAACGGTGAAAGTACCATACGGAATGAATGCCAGTTACAGAAGAAGCAGTAACAATTTGAAATTATGACTAAATATGAAATGAAGCAGGTAGTAAAATAATTTTTACCGTTTATTTGTGTTCAGTTATTAATATGCGACAGATTTCGTTTGCCTAAAATTGGTAATTTTCTTTTCAACTAAAATAGGTGAATTCCATGAACTGGCCCAGGAATTGCGGTTACAACTAACATATTTTAAAGAATATTTTCGGGTGTCAACAAAACAGTTTGACGAGTTACTCAAAATCGTTGGCCCCAAAATCCATAAATTAACCACGACCAACAGGAGGCCGATTTCTGCTGCAGAGCGATTGGCTGTCACATTGAGGCAAGTTAATGGTTCTATTCTAATTTTATGTTGTAGAGTTTGAATTTGTGACCATTTTTCATAAATATGATAAATTTTTTCACGTTTAGATTCTTGGCAACTGGCGACTCCTATCGCCAATAGTTATCGTTTAAGAATTTCAACTGTTTCCCTCATTGTGCCAGATACATGCAGGTATGATTTTCAAATATAATTCCAACCTTCTGTATCTTAAATTAATCCAGATCTCAATATCATGGCTGCTTACCTCATGATTTTCAAAATGTTTCCCCAATCACCTTTTTATATGCTTTGTCTTGCCATGCCATGGGGAAGACTAATGATCGAGACAGTACTCATTTGTATTCGTAGCTGACGGGGCATTTCCTTTAAAAGAAAATATCATGCGACCATATGATGGAAACAACCTGAAGAAAAAGATATACAACTCCAGATTGTCACGGGCTGGCCGAATGATAGAAAGTGCGTTCGGAATACTTCAAAATCAATGGAGAGTATTTTATAGGATAATGCCTCTTCAGTCTATAAATGCGGATGTGGGGTGAAGGCCACCTGTTGTCTCCACAACTGCGCAAGGAAGTAACTCAGCCACAAGAAGTGAAAGCAGCTTACTCGAAAGCTGAAAGCAATATTTTACTAAGAAGTTTGCCCTTTTTTCACATTTTATAGAGCCATTTGGGAACATTATTCCAATGGTTCTGGAATATCCATCAACCCAGGATGTGTGGACGACCATTAGTAATGAGTTTGAAGCGAAGTGGCAATTTCCGAATTGTTTGGGGGTCGTTGATGGCAAACACGTCGGGATATATGTTCTTCAACTACAAGAAGACACGCAGCATTGTATTAATGGCAGCGGTTGATGCAAAGTGAAAATATTTAATCTATCACTTATCAATTTTTGAACCCTTTTAAAAAATATCATAAACATTTATCCTTTCTGTTATAATTATTAGATATTGGAGGTGTAGTGATGGAAAATATTCCCAGACTTCGGTTTTGGCGAAAGATTGGCTAATGATAACCTCAATCTTCCAAATCCGAGGTAGGAAGACGGTCGTATATTTTCAACAAAAAATGTTACCGCCTTACATATTGCATTGTACGTATTTAACTTTTTTATTAAGTTATGCCTGTCCTCCAGGTCCTCTGTATTTTGTTTGTCCCTTTGTTGTTGTTTTGTGTTTTGTTTGTATCAGAGTGACCAAATAAAATTGATTGATTGGTGTGAGTCTTTTGTGCTTTGTTTTGTCGGGCCAGTGGAAAGAACCTTTAGACCTAAGATGAAGGATACCCTTTCTTTAGGAGGTTTCTGATTATTACTCAGTCTATTTGGTGACGATTGATTGCCGCTGATGACGTTAAGGCATCATCTGTCACGTTTTATATGCGACTAGTCGTTTTTGTGTTTCGCGTGAGAAGGTTCTGCTCGAGTTATCATTGTACACTTTAAGTTGTATTGTTAAAGACGATTAAAGTCGCAGTCGAACCTTGGGAATTCTGATTTTACTGTAGTAGATGTTTTTAAAAGATAGAAAGAAAAAGCTGCGACACGTGTACTTTGTTCTTACAAATGATTTGAGATAAAACTATCCGTAGACCTATTACTTGAGTTACCAAATCAAGAAGTGATGAAAGTAATAAACATTATGAATGGAGACTTTCCCAAAAAAGTTGTTCCAACTTTGAAAAAAAAAGGGAGTTGAGAAAGATAGAAAACAAAAATTGGGAAGAAATTATGATTCGCGCCACAGGATGTGCGAAAACTCTTCCTAATTCAGAAAAAAAACTATTACAGCCTTCATGACAACATGGACGAGAAAATTAGAGACGCAAAGCTAGATTGAAAAAATTAGGACGAAACCGAAAAGCTGGTCTCGCACCAAGGTTTCAAGTTATTTTAATGGTAAAGTGTGGTAGAATTTGTCAAATCACTAAAGAAAAAGAAGAGGGATAATAGCCACCCTTCCTATACCATGTAGTAAAAAGTTTCCTGCAGTAGTGGTTCGAATAAAGAAAAAACTTTGTCTCGTAGAAAACAAGTGGAAGTATCACAATCTGAATTAATGTTGAG